CTGACGGCGTTAACGGAGTTGACGGAGACTAATGGCCGGTGACTAACGGTGAAATGATTCGTAAAGTTAGTGGCCAATAAGAAAGAAAAGTAATTCGAGTGGCTAACGTGAAAGATTCATGTAATTTGAGTGTCCAAACATGTAATTTAGCCACATCTTTATTAACAAAGGTCATTATTCATGGTTCAAAAATTGCACACAAAAGTGATGGTTAAAAAACACACATCAATATATATACTTAGTCGAAAAAGAACTCGGAAGTACTTTTCAAGAATCGTTGATAGTAGTTATGCAATTTTTTAAAAATCTCGAAAGACATGATCATCTTTATCGGACTATCTAACGATCGGGGTAAAAAAGACATGAAAAACTCAAGTCTTTCAAGATTCCAAAAGATTTCATTTTTTACGTGTCATCTATCGAAATAGGTAAGAAAAAAATGCCAACATTCCACAACAAAGTAAAAAAAAAAAAAAAATCAACCTATCTTGTGCATGTGCGGTTAATCCTGCTGTTAATCAATTAATCACATGTAGTGATTGATAAAGAATAGTAAAAAATCTAAAATAAAGGTAGTTAGAATCCCCACTTCTTGTGAACTAGTAGTACTTTAGCAACAAAGTAATAATCAATGAACGTGCTGATCATGAATTCATTTTAGAAACCTATGAGTTATAATCTACGCAATAAATAAAAGCTAAATGAGAAAACTTGAAGCCCGATTTCAAATTTCCTGCATCCAGAGTAAAAGTAGGAAGAACATTTTGGTCTTCACAATTAATTTTTTTAATTCATTAAAAATGCACTTACTAGGATTCGAACCATGACCACTTCAAAGAAAAGCAAAGATCATAACCAATCACACTAAATACATTTGTTGTATCTTTTTAAATTAAAAACATATAATCGCATAGAGGAAAAACCCCTTCCCCCATTTCAAATTCCCTGCTCCAGGAGCGTTTGTAGGAAGGGTAGAATAGGGAGTGTCAATTTTTTTCTTTTTCCTCTCTGGAACGGGCTAACTTACCGTACACATATGGATTTAAACGGGTTCAGGAGTGTCAACTTTTTTCTTTAAGTCCTTTTATTTCTCCGTGGGGTAAAATATATATGAAAATGCAAAAAAGATACTCTTTTTTATTGCTAAAATAAAAAAAATTAACAATAAACTAATGCATGGATTCTAATGGGCTAACCGTTAATCATAAAATAAAAGAGTTGAATGGGCCTGACCTACACGGGATTTGCCCATCAAGTAAAACAAATGAACATCATGAGTTTGCCCTTCTAAAACAAGCTATTTTCTCTAGCATAATATATATTATGCTATTATTTTATATCTTAGTGGCTAAAATATAATGTATTTTAAAGTTATTCTATGGTTCAACCTCGACCAACCCAATTAGTCCAACTTTTATCATTTCAAATATATATATTATGTAATTATTTAATATCATAATGATTAATTATAGTGTATATTATAAGGTTTGGTATTTGTTAGTAAAAAACTAAACATAAAGATCTATTTGGTTATTTTTAACATTAAAACGATCCTAAACATTTTCAGTTTCCTTTCGAAATTCTATAGTTTTATTCCCGAATCAGTGATGTGCAAATGGTGAATTGCAGTCATCTCTTTTCTTTTATTATTTTTTACTTTCAAATAGAAAGTTTAAAAGTAAAGAATAATTAGAGTTTGGCATGGGTCGGTCAAATAGGCTGAATTTCAAGTTTTGCCCGTTTTGATCAAGTCTAATTTATAATCACATGGTTCCTTGATACCCGATAAAAATCTCAATCCAAACCAGTTTGGGAGGTGAGTCCGTGTTTACCACCATTTTCTAGGGATACAGGAACGGTGGTTCCTATCCCAAATCGTGTTGTTCATTCTTGATTTCTTTAGATTTTATCATGGCTTGACAAAAAACCAGAAAGCACAATGATGACAAGATGAAAGTTTTATAAAGCAAATTAATCGGCCAACGGGCCGAGTAAAAATTAGCAACGATTGTGAGATGCTAATTTCCCGAAAACAAGCAGGATAGGCAATTTTTTATTCGATTTTCTGAAATTCGGTTTCTATAAAACTCCACCTCATCATATTACCAGAAACAATATTATTTCACAAGATAACAGGTTCTTGATTTTGGTTCATAAGGCTGATTTTTAGAGCACTTCTACTATGCTATATAGTATTGGTGCTTTAATGTACAACTTAAAGTTGTACCATAACATTAAATGTATAAGTTTAGGTTGTACCATAAAGCAATTTGTACCCTTATGTTATGGTACAACTTTACAACTTGAAGTTGTACCATCACATAAAGGGACAAGTTCAAGTTGTACCATAAAAGAATTTGTACAAAAAGTATAGGTACAATCTGAAGTTGTACCATAACGTAAATGTACAATTTTAAGTTGTACCATAAAGGCAAAAACCTATAGCACCAATACTATATAGCATTGTAAAATTTCTCGATTTTTGATTCGTTGCATCATTCATGTCTCTTTCCTACTAAAATTCACTATTTTTATCACGTGTTTCCAAAAAAAAAACTATACAACAATCTAAAGAATATAATATGAGTTTTCCAATTTAGAGCTTCACGGATTCAAATTTACTTACTCCTTAGCCTTCCACGTCAGCCTCCTCTAGCCAATCATAGTGCAGTAAAAAAAAAAACTTCCCTGCGGTGGTTTCCCGTTTCAGACCATTAATCATATTTTATTTTATTTACCTATTATTCTATCATGTGGTGCACGAAAAAATTTCCTAAAAAATTGCAACTATGATCCCCCCACCCCCTTATGAATATTTTCTTCCTTTTTTGGATACAAGTAATTACCAATTAAATTCAGTAGTAATTACCAATTAAAAAATAATAACAAAAAATATTTATTCTAATACTGAGTTTTGCAACTCTTCAATCTACTTTATTGATAGATAGATAGATAGATAGATGTATAAATAATATTCAAGTTATTAATTCAATTCATTTAATATTGATATTAAACGTGTTATACGAATTTTATACGTGTTTAGTACGAGAGCCATCAAAAGGACAAGAAAAAGTGGAGTCGTTTGATAGTAATACGGAAACGAAAGTATTAAACGGATAAAATATGTACGTTCATATATATGCATATCTAATCGGGTATTTACTAACTATAATTTGTAGAAATTTTCATAAAGTTTGTTAAAAATTATGTTTGATAAGAGTTTAGAAAAAAATAAAATTTATGAAAAATGTGTACTTTTATTATAAACATAAAGTTTGTCAATGAGATGGTGAATAGTGTGTTTAAAAGTAAAGTGAATTTTTTGTAAGATGTATTTTAGATTAAGTCAACCAACATGTTTTAGAGTTATGTGTTAAATGAGTTTGTTTTAAGAACTTAAATTTGAGAAATTTTTAAAAAATTTAAAAAAGTGCAATGAATGCGTACAAGGTTTTTCCATTAGGGGTTAATATTCTTTTTATGGGAACTGATATTTGGTCAAAAGAACCTAGAGTGAGTTCATGTTAGAAACACAATACTTATGGTCAAAATCAAAACATAAATTATATCATCATAAGATATTAACTATAAAAAATAGTTAAATATAATAGTAATTATTTAATGATTTTAAACTATCCAACCAATGGCAGGGTACAAATTGTGATTCCAAAATACACAATTAGATGGTCTATATGAAAAACACCTTATATATCCAAATTATCTACTAGAAATGGTGTATATTCAGGTATTGAAGTTGAGTTTTATAAAAAATTATTACTATAAGAGGAATTTCAGTATTACTCGAACAAAGTGACAATTCAACAATCCCGTCAATATCAATCTCGGCCAACGGCCGGGCACAAGGCTAGTTTCACTATTTAAATTGGAATAATAATTATGATACAACCAACATAGAAAAATATATAATCATTTTAAAAAAAATCACCCTATAGTCTATAATAGGTAGTAGTTTTAAATTATAAAGCAATTAAGAGTATCATAATAATGCAAATACATACATACATACATGTATATCTCATAATGAACAATTTCAATCAAAATAAAAATGTCGCTTTAGAGTTTAGAATCAAAAGCTCTTTAACAACTGTATATATTAAATCCTCATATGAAAATAATTCTGAGATCCATATATGTCACGTGTCATTAGATTAGCATAATTTGAAGAATTTTCCAAACCTTTATAATAAATAATGGGTAATTAATGTGAGGACCACGAAATCGTTGTTGGGCCAAGCAATCCGGCCGACACGACTACCCTAGTGGCTTAATGGCGTTGTATTCTTTGGGTCTTGCTTTGGGGCATATCATGCGATGGAGTCGGTCATCAAATATTACACTTGTATGCCTAATATTGAAAAATATAGCTTTGCAACGGTTCGGTTTGAATCAGAACACATTTACGAGAACTGTGATTAAATAGTGAAAGATATATTTTAGAATCAAGAATCGGATCAACAGTGCACTCGGTACGCTTTAGTTTTATTTGGCCCTATTGACACCTAAAATTCAACGAAACAGGCCCAGTTCAAATATCACATTGGTCCATTTTTTTCCAGTATTTATAAAATTCATACGATCAAACCATTTCATATTCAATTTGGTACGATATGATCCAACCGCCAGTTTGATCCGGTGCAATCCAATACGAACCTTCCCGGTGCACACTCATTTATATCAATAAGCATACACCATAATCACACCCTTTGTATCTCACCATAATCAATTACCCAAAAGCTACAAATCAAAAGCCCATTTTTCATATCCTAAACCCCACCATAAATATCGTACAATTCATTCCCATCCCAACCATCTTTCGTTGCATGCTATATATATAGCTCTCCTCCCCCTACAAAAGGGTTCATAAACGAAGAAAAACCCCCTATAAAGTATAAATACCCCACCTTACCTTCCCATACGTACCTTCAACCAAAGCCTTACTTACTCTTCCTCCCTCAAAATAAAAAACACTAAACCACCTAATGGCAAACTTAATATTCCCCTATGCAAGCCCTTTGATCACAACTTCCGTTACCATCCTTCTCCTTGCTCTTCTTTGTTGCACCACACGCACGATCGGCATCCAATTCGATCCGATAACTTCATCGACGTCCTCGCCACCGTCGTCGTTCGTCCAGACAAAAAATGCCCAGTTCGTCCTCAACGGTGCGCCGTTCCTCTTCAACGGATTCAACTCCTACTGGATGATGACGGTGGCGGCTCAGGTGGATCAGAGGCACAAGGTGACGGAGGTGTTCGATCAGGCCAGGGCCGCGGGCCTCACCGTCTGCCGGACGTGGGCTTTTAGCGACGGAACGGGTGATCAAGCGCTTCAGATAACTCCCGGTCTTTATAGCGAGGCTGTGTTTCAGGTCAGTAACTTTTTTTTTTTTTTTTACCGTGGCCGAGCGATTAGTGAAAATGGTTTCGATCTGTCGATCGACACACATCTATATCAGCTTGTTGAATCTCTTTGATTATGATATGGACCAGGCTTGTGATGATCTGTTGATATCGTGGTGCATGCAATTCAATTTGTTGTTTTTCATGTGTGTATAATATATATATGTTGGCCTTGGAGGAATTTTCTGGAAGGGTTATGTGTATGTAGTTTGGTCGGAGTCCATTAATATATGCAACAAACTAGCTACTCGGTTGGTTGGTGGATAGAATTCAATTAAATTGGTTTTCAATATTGATAACTATGCACATATAATTACGTACCCCAAATCCATATTGATTTTGACCACATATATATGTATATAATATTGTTGGAACTTTTTATTAGTAATTATAAAACTCTAACGACTAGTCTGGATGATGGTGGATTGAAAAGGTTGGGTTTGGATTTAAATTTGTACAAATGTAAAATTTAGACAGAAAAAAAAGCGCACATTTCAATAATCCAAACATAAATATTTGAGCTAAATAATCCACCGTGTAAGTTGGACCGTGATCACGCAACCAAATCTCTTGTCCAAAGTCCAAACCACTCTAAGTAAGAAAATAAACCAAACCATAAGCTTGGCTTGGCTTATTTGATAGTTATTTCATTTTAACTGGACTGGGCCACAATGCCAAAAGGGCCCATAATTGGATAAATTCATTTGAACCAATCCAGCCGGGTCTCAGTCTAGGGCCTAGCCTAAGCAAAGAAAACAAATCGAAACCAGAAAAGGCCCAGAATTCACGGCCCAATAGCACGCTGCTCCTTGATCTTTTTTAGCGACGAGATCTATAGCCACCGTAGTTAATAAACAACTTCATTATACGTACAGGGGCTGGACTTTGTGATCTCGGAAGCAAAAAAGCGTGGCATTCGGTTGATCCTCACACTAACCAACAACTACAAAGACTTTGGAGGAAGACAGCAATATGTTGCATGGGCACGAACCCTGGGCGTCCCGGGGGTGGGCGGTGATGACGATTTCTACACTCACCCTGTCTTAAAATGGTACTACAAGAACCATATCGCGGTAAGCAACGTGCTCCAAACTTCCATCACCACATAAGTGTACGTGATTGATGTTTGATGGTTCAATTTCATATCATCGTCGTCGTCTCGTGTAGAGGGTGTTGACGAGGATCAACACGATCACCGGAACAGCTTATAAGGACGACCCCACGATCATGGCGTGGGAGCTGATCAACGAGCCGCGCTGCGAGATTGATTCCTCCGGCGATACAATCACGGTAATTAATTAAGCACGATATTCTTATTCTGTGACCAATTTTTTTGTTTTGGTCTGAAATGTAGTATCATTGATCGGTCGTCCATAAAATTAATTAAATTAGTGACCATCTATCTCAATTAATTAATTAATTAATTAAGCAATAAATGATTGATGTGGCAGGGGTGGGTTCAGGAGATGGGGTCGTACCTGAAACTAATCGACAACAAGCACTTGCTGGCCGTAGGAATGGAAGGCTTCTATGGAGATTCCACTCCTGACAGGAAGCAATTCAACCCTGGCTACCAAGTTGGTACGGATTTCATCACCAGCAACCTCCTCGAATCCATCGATTTCGCCACCATTCATGCCTACCCTGATGCATGGTGAGTCCAATTTTCTACTGGACTGGACTAGACTGCATTACATTTGATTTGGTACGATTAGGTACCGCATGCATGTCCGGTACTGTCGTTTAGAGAAGTCTTCAGGCAGATTTTCATTAATTGAAAGAGAAAAGTTATATTATCCTGTACATCACCACATATATATATATATCAAATACAAACTACCTATACAGTACTTAAAGTATACATATTTTACAACATCACCTAAGAACTAATTAATATCTACATCTAAGTCCTCGCCGTTTCCTCCTTGGACAACTGGTACAAACCAAGCCGTTAGCACACTCCTAAAACCAATAGAGAGCTTTGATCGATATTGAGAACCTGATTTGATTTGATGCATATATATATGTATATACATGTGCGTGTAGGCTGGCAGGGCAGAGTAGGTACGAGCAAATGACATTCTTACAGAAATGGATGAGCAGCCACCTGACCGACTCGCGGACGATACTGAGAAAGCCACTGGTGTTTGCCGAGTTCGGCCTCTCCAACAAGGCCACCGGCTACGCCAACCTCGGCAGGGACTTGTTCTTGAACGCTGTCTATGGCACCATATTCGGCTCCGCCAGGTACGGCGGCACCATCGGCGGCGGGTTGGTGTGGCAGCTGTTGGCCGACGGGATGGACTCTTACAACGACGGCTACGAGATTGTTCTGTCGCAGTGTCCATCTACCAGCTTCCTCATTGGGTTACAGTCTAGGAGGATGTCTGCTCTTCAACATGTGTTGGCCGGAGCTTAGGGGCTACAGTATAAATAAACTATATATTCGATCGGTTTAATAATTAATTAACCGTAGTGCATGAGTAATTGTAGGATAAACTTCAAGCTAAGGTAGATTGATTTAGTGTAGAAATTATATTGACTAATAATTAAGTGTACGTTAAGTCCCATGTCTAGCATGTTATTCAACCAACCATGCTAATGTGTTACGTTACACAATGTAGACCACATATCATATATATTGTGTCATTTCTTCGTATTCTTTACTATAATTGTTTCTTAATACGCCACTCATTACAGCTTCTGTTCTGTTATGTTTGAGCAGAAGAAAATCAAAAGCAGTGTTTAATGGTAACAAGATACTATTTCTCAACCTAATAATAGATTTCAAAAGGAAAATGCACACAACAAATAATGCAACATAGCTTAGCCCCTTTACCCTTAAAAAGAGCTTACTCAGTCAAAATAAATTACAAAATTTATGTTCACACTTCAACCATACAATCTTAAAAAACAACAGAAATGAACCTGAGTATCCTCACTTGGTTCCATTGTGTTATTTGCTTATTTGGCTTTGTGCTTTTTTCATTATGGCAAGCTACAATGAAGCTATGGTTACATTATTTTTACCCACCTTCCTTTTCTGCTGGTCTCATAATATCTTTCCTAGATACATCTCCGATGTATATTTCTCTATTTACCTTCACAAAACAAAAGAAGTGGATCAACAACATGAAACATACAAAACGGTTCAATGACATATGAGCAATGTATCAAATTCAATTTAAAACAATGGGTTATAGGTATAATATGCCCCTTTACTATGTAGTTTTATCAAACACGCCCCTAGACTATTTTTTACATCAAACATGCCCTTGTACTTTGGAAAAATGATCAAACATGCCCTTCTGTTAAAATTTCCATTAAAAAAATCGCCAACCATGGTTGAACCGAGATGTAGATGACCCGACATCGGCAAATGAGAGCGAAAATGTTAGTTTTGATCCTCATTTTATTTTTCTAGGTCTCGTTAAAGTGAAATTATTAGAGGTATTTGGCTCTACAAAAGAACCCAAAAAATTTTAAAGTGAAATTACCAAGAATATTTTAGAAATTTGTGTCGCCCAAACCAAGGTACGACCATGATTGACTGTTTTTAGATGAAAATATTTTCAGAAGGGCATGTTTGATCATTTTTCTAAAGTACATGGCACGTTTGATGTAAAAAATAGTAGAGAGGCATGTTTGATAAAATAACATAACAGAAGGGCATATTATACCTATAACCCTAAAAGAATTTAGCAATGGAAAGTATGAATCAGATTTTTTTATTCAAAATAGGATACAATTTTTAGAAAATGAAAAATCTAAAATTTAACTTAAATAAATCTACAAATTAAACTTTACCATTCTTCTTACCAGTTCCATCCATGCCAAAGAACAAATTAAAAAGGAGTTGGGTGAAATTCTTTTTCTGATCCATGAAGAAACCCATCTTAAAAATTGGAAATGCCAAGAGCTTAGAGATGAAAGAGCATGTTGTTCTTATAAAGACCCCTTTATTTATAGATGTTATTATGGTTCTAAATGGCATGAACCGCATTTACAAACCAATTAAGGGCAAAATTAGTATGATTCACTCACATGTAGTGGGTGAGTTTGATCTTTGCATGTTGTTTCCATGATCAGGCTTGGATCATATGATGAGCTAGACCAAAATCAATGTTACGGTGTTGGATTTATAGAAACATTGCAATTAAAAAAAGAAAAAAAAAAGACACAAGGCAAATTCATAACAACTAGATGATGTATACGTACTAAACAGATGTCCTTTGGGTGAAGGCAATAATAATAAGCAGATATTATTATATAGTGAAGAGTAATCTTCACAAACCAGAAGGAAGTCACGCAGCAGAATACATAAAAGAGCTATGGAGCTCTGTACATCCACCCGCCACGCCACGGAATTATTATTTGTCTTGTTAATTATACAGATAACATAATAAAAAAGAAAGAGAGTGCGACGATGAAGATGGATGGATGTTTAGTTTAGTTTAGTGATGGGTGGCAGCCCCAGGGAGGTTGTCCTTGATCTTCTCGATGATGCCTTTCTTGTGATGAGGCTCGTCGGCGGAATAGTATCCACCGGCCGGCGTTGTAGTGGCAGTAGGGCGGTGTGGATCATAATAATGATCATCCTTACTGTGACCACCTGCACCTGGCATCTTCTCTTTGATCTTCTCCCTCAGTCCCTTCCCCTTCTTCTTCCTCCTCCCTCCCTGCCCGTCGTCCTCGGAAGAGCTGGAGCTGGACGAGCTACCGGAGCGATGAAGCATCCCGGAGATCCCACGCCCTTGTTTTCCACCACCACCACCAGCAGCGGCAGAGTGATGAGGAATAATGGGGTTGCCGTACTCGTCTACCTGATGGACGGCAGCTGGGTCGGTGGTGCTGCGAGTTGCGCCGTACTGGTTCTGATACTTCTCCATTGCCGCCAGCCGCCTGAAACTTATTTCCTGAATTACTGTCTCAAAATGTTGATGGGTTAGCAGTAGGTAGGTTTGAAGTGAAGTGAAGTGAAGTTTAAATAGGAAGGAAGGAAGGAAGGAAGGAAGGAAGTGAAAGGAGGTTTACAAGGTTCAACGTGGGAGGAACTCAGCTTGTCAACGTGTCTCAGGGACTTGCCACGCTATCGGCAGCAGGCAAGCCAAAGCTCGACATTTGGCCTCCGTCCTTACGCATATCCTTGGACCAACCAATATGTTTTCAAAATCGGACCATACCCACTACATCAGATACACAATATCGAATACCGGTAGCAAATCGGTATATAATAATATTTTAACAATATAAAATAATTGAATCATCATTAAACAACAATTTTACTTATATCACAAATTTTTCCATTTTTCCGTATAACCTTCAATACAATACCATTTCACACAAGAGTCAAATGCAATTACACTTATAAAATTGATTAATCAATTCTACACTTATAAAATGATACAATTACACTTACTAAACTTTTAAAAACATCAAATGTGGTAAAAATATTTGTCAAAAAAAGAAGTGGAAGAAACCTCCAGTAACATATACAAAAAGAAATTACAAGAATGAGGTACATATTCTTTTCATCTATTTATTTCATCACAATAACTTGAATACAAGCCAAAAAAATTATAAACCCACAAAACAAACATTTGATGGGAAGCAAACCATCACCTTCAGCCCAAAACCTCCCCTGAACCCATACACATATTTATATATTTCAAGACATCGACCCGGCTAGACCAGTCTCGAGCCAAGATGACACCACTAAGGACGAAGCTGGTTCAGATTGCAACGTTGCACACGACTGAACACCATTTCTCTTGTGCTTACCTCGTGTTATGCTTCGATTTTATAGCAAATCCAAGAGTGGTGGCTGTCCAGGCTGAGGTTTGTTGTTGGCATGAGAAGAAGACTTCATAGTCGAGCCAACCGCTGTCCCTCTCCCTCTCCCTCTCCCTCTGCCCACAGCTGTCAAAGGAGGCGGAGCAAGCTTCGGAGCTAAAGCTCCATTATCGTTGTTCCTCCCGGAACCAAATATGGATTCCAGATCTCCCGATGACCTCGTCCTTTGATTACTTGACGAGACCATACTTCCACCTTGATTGCTTTTCAAGACCCCTAGGGAGTGGCTGGGATTCATCCCACTGCCACCACCATCGTTCACAGCTCCTCGTCCCATGGTAACCGAATTCTTGTTGTTGAACGCCCAGCTGTTGCTCCCATTGCTCTGAGTGCTGCTGTTGGATGTGATGGTTGCAAAGTTAGAACCGTAAGTTGGAGTGAGCGATCCAACTTTACCGTTGTTCAAAGTGTTGGAGGTGCTGCTGCTAGGCCTCGGAGGCCAATCGGCAAAAGGATCCATATCGTCAAGAGCTGGTGCAGATGATGATGCCACCATACTCGATTGTCCCCAGCCATCACTTTGCTGCGGGGTTACACCAGAAGATGATGACCGAGGAGGCCACTCTATGTCGACTGGAGTGCATGACACCGCTGGTTGTTGACTGGCCATGGAAGACAATGATTGCAGTGGCTTCTGCTGGCTGCCCGAAGATGTCATAGTAGTAGGAGCAGGAGATGGGTTGCTTGAAATAGAGGGAATAGGTGCGGTATCAGGGTGCTTTGAAGGGGCAGAACCTTTGGTTACAGGACCCCAGTCTTCATCCCAAGAAGGACTCTTTTTTACTGCAGAAGCAACTGTGCCAGTTGATTTGCTAGATGCTTGAGACTGACTCCCATTAGCAAAAGGTAATGTCTTCGCCTCTGGAATTCCAGAATCACTTACACTGACCCCTCGCTTTTCTTCTATCATCCTGTTTAAAGAGAATCACCAAAAGCAGGGTTATGATAATACACACTTCTTTTATGTGGAAACTAGATAGACAGGAAGGATATACAAGCCGAAAACATCACAGACATTCAACTGATGGCATTTACTCTTGAACTTGTGTAATTAATGGGATAGCCGTTGCCATTTCAAATGTTCAAACTCCATCCCATAGATATTATAATAATCATCGTACATATTCAATAATTGTCCTTAGCTTGCCGGTTCAATTAGACCAAGTGCCCTAGCATAACATTTTTTCCACCAAGAAAAAGAAAAAATGATGAATGTCCAATTCTTGGTGGCATTAAGAATCATCGGCACTTTCCATCTACATAAATCTCAAGACTTCAAAAAGAAGTACTAACCATGATTAAGCTAAAAGGCTACCCAGATATGATCAGTGTACATATGGATCTCAGATGGAGCAGTGAAAATACCTCAGGACATCCTTAACGAAGAGCATGTATTTGGCAAACTGCTGCACGTTAAGCTGCTGGGCAATGAGCAGAGGCGAAAGCAGGGGAAGAACATGCTCTGCAACAAATTCTACTCCAAACTGACAAAAAGAGTTCCAGTCAGAAGAATGAAACAATTGAGAAGGTCTCAATATTCACCTCTAATATCATATGTTTCAAACCATTACCTGTTTTAGAATAGAGTTTGCAACCCCGAGAGTACACATAAGGGTAGGAGCAGAACGGTCAACTGCTGTACAACGTCCAATGGTTTGCAACATGTCCAGAATAGCATGTTTGTCGAGTGAATGAGCAAATTCTACAAAGCATAGCAGAGCATTCACTCTTACCTGCAAACACAAAATGATAATAAGGCATTCATATGAGATTTTTTTTTTTGGCGAGGCATTCATATGAGATATACAAACATTAAAAAAAAAGTATTGTCTATTTTTTATCCAAACCTTTTTCAAATTCTTTTATATTATCCAAACTTATTAAAATGCTATTAGTTAGCCAAATCTTTCGTAATGCATCAAAATATTAGTCATTTTTATGTTATCTTTAATAGATTTCTAACTCTTTTTCTTAGTTAACATACTAAAATTTTGTAATGTTGAACTTCATGTGTCTCTTCCAAGTCAGTATCATGTTGCCAAGTCAATATTACTAACAAAATTGCTAACTGGAAGTCAACATTTAGCTAATCCTTAGTATTTCGATAGGTTTGGATAATATAAAAGAATTGAAAAAGATTTGGATAAAATATAGACATTACAAAAAAAAAAAAAAACATCCTGAAACATGTTGCTCCTTATATCAGTTGGTCCACATAAACCATATACATACCGCAGCAACAGTTGTTTTGAGAGCTAATCCATGAACCCGAGGCAAAATTGCTTGCTTCACTAGCTGGAAATACAAAAACAATGCACAGTACCCAAAAATGACATCAGTTACCAGGAAATATAGACAACTCTGCATTTTATTCACCTTCAGGCCTCTAAAGGGGTATCCCAAATGATGATAAAAGAAAAGTATTGGTCAATTATTTGTCTGAATCCAACAGGTTTAAGTATCAAATCAAGGAAGTCTCAACTCATTTCAAGCAAATACTTCCACTGATAAGAAAAGTAGACTTGAGAGCAACTTCGATGAAATCTATCAAACCTGAGGATCAAGTTGCTTGGCAAGAGATACAGATTTTTTCAAAACTTCCTCCTGGATGCGTGGATCAGTATCATCATAAGCTCGAACCAACATTGGCAGGACACTGGATACCAAAGTCTCATGACTAGCCTACAAGTGTTATACAGAATGGGATATTAGTACTGACTTATTATAATGTCGAACATATTCATGAAATTAGTGAAAAGCAGGATGAAGATTAAAAAGAAGAAATCAATAATTCCCCAAAAATTTACAGTACAAAAGCTCTAGATGAAGGAATAGAAATTTGTTTCTATGATGGTGCTATTAACTGTAATCAACAAATTCTGACACTAATCATAAATAGATGAAAAAAGAGAGTAACAGTTGAGAACATCCTCTCGCTGCAACCCCCTTTTTTTCTTTTTCTTTTTCATCTTTCTATATTTCCCCTCTTTTTTTTTCTTACATCTTTGGTTACTCCCCCTTCTCTACCAATGCCATATAGTTAAACAAGGAAGAAATTTATTGACCACAAAAAATACGGACAAAAAATGGTGTGTGGATAGAGCAAGTTACCTTGTTGATTATGAGATCTGCATGCTTGACAAGAAGAAGTAGTGTCTCACCAGCAGCGGTACTGAGGACAGGAACAAGAGCTGGAAGGGTTGAAAGCTCAAAATCTACTTTATCCTACAATAGATGGAAAATCATAATTTTGATCACTCCTCGATATAAACTCATATGTATCAGTTTAACTGTCCATCACTTATTCGTTTTGCAGAAAATAAAAAAATTCACATGGATATGCACACAAGAGACCATAGGAATGCAAAAATGATTTCCTCAGGTACACAAATGAGGGTTTATCTGCACGAGCAATGCACTTCTCAACTTAGAACTTTAGCCCAAGACAAAATGTCACATCCAAGAAGCCTAATGTCCAAGATGAAACCAGAAAGAAATAAGAAAATTTTACTTTTTCTTCCTCTACCAAACAAGCATTTGAGGAAACTGTCAAAAACAAGGGAGCTACTATACACACTAAGTTCCCAACAAAAAATGTTCCGTACAAGGATAGCCTTCTCAAAAGTTTAAATGGTTACTATAGACATTAAAGGAGCAAATTCATACACTAAGATATTTCAAAATGAGAACCATAAATATTCCTTAGTGAAGCTGGAGTATCTAAGTTCGATAAAATCAAGGTTACCCTAATCAATGGGTGGACAAAGAGACATCAATGTATGAACGACAACCAAGAAACATAAGTATCTGGCTATGTAGACACAACAAAAGACGTCATTCAGCTAACAAATTCAATACCTGAGATTCGGCTATGGTGAGAACCATGGGGAGAATCATTGGTTGCATAACCATATTTCTGAGTTCTGCGCATAAAGGTGGAAGCACCTGGAAAAGCACTTAAGTTAGTAACTTCCGCCAAAATAGAAATTTATAATAAAAAAAGGACAAAGAAGAAATACACAAACAAACAACAAGG